TACTATTATTTTTAAAATTGGGCTAAACTGACTATTGAATCTAGAATCGGTCAAATAGTTGGATTCCTTTGAACGAACTGGTTTCCAATGAACCAGTCAGAATTGGTTGATCGGACTGAGCAATTGTGTATATGTATATATATAAATATATACTTAAATAAGTTAATAAATATTTATATATTTTTTAATATAACAAAAGTATAAACTTAAATATATTTGATATATATAAATTCAAATAAATTTAAATTTATATTATTATTAATATATTAAAAAAATTAATTGCAATACTATATTTTCTATATTTCAAATATATTAGTGTTAAATATATTTAGAAATCATCATTTAATTTTATTATAATTATAGTGGATAAATGTTCAAATGCCATTAAGCTGCCAAAGAATCGCTCAGTCCGTTCACGCACGTCTCTACCAAGGAATCGCACGTCTCCGCCAAAGAATCGCTAAGTCCGCAACAAATTTGCCGACTTTGACGGTCGGAAAAGTTTCTGGCAGAAACACGCACGTCTCCTTCCCCGGACCAAAGCGGCAAGAGTCATCTTCTCCGTGCAGCACAGTCGCACCTCTGACCGCCCTCCCGCAAGCCTCCTTCAGCCATGTCCGGCCAAAAATCCGTTAACGACGTGATTCGTTCATGTTCGCCGCCACTCTCACTCAGCCCTTTGTGCAAGAGGCAACCAGTCATGGTGAGTTCATCCATCTCCAACAGCCCGCACATAATTTCGGTCAGCAACTCGCGTCCGGCGTCGATCCCTTCAAGTCGTCGGCCCAGCACGCTCGTTCCAGCCCGCTCAGCCACGCTCAGCACGCACAATCAACGTCGGGAGTCCACTTCAACTTGATCGCGTCACATGAAAAATCTCGCCCAATTATTCTGCCAAAAAATTTTGCCACAAATGCTTCGGTCATCTTCTCCGGCCTTCCTGCAACTTCCGGTCGTCTTCTCCGGCCAACACGTCATCTTCTTCGTCTCTTCCGGTCAGCATCAACAAAATCTGCCCTCGGAACACCCATGTCCATCTGACACTTGGGAGCTCAGCCACGAACAGATGTGCACAACTTTCTAGCCGAAGCTTGGCCGTGCTCAGTCGAGCATTGCACCTCCTTATCCAGTCGTCCATAACACGGCCTTCACTGATGAAATTCTTCACTCTGTATGTGCAGCACGTTCGGTCCGCCAGGCACCAACATGGCCATCACCCGTTCGGTCCGTCCAGCTCTCAGGCCGCCGGCAGCAAGACCGAGAGCAGCAACCACCATGTCCAACGCCCGTTTGACATGTCCCTGATGCACATGGTCGAAGATGGTGGTTTCGCTGGACCGAGAGCTCGTGGCGATCGCCGGCGGCGATCTTGACGGAGGAGAAGGTTCAGCCTTGAGAATTGAGAGTTTATATGGAAATTACATAAGATACAATGGAGGGAATGTACCTTTGTATTTTAAAAAAAAAAAAATGTTTGAATTTAATTTTTTATTTTAAAAAAAATTCAGAAACACATTTTAGGCGGGATATTCTCAAAATTTTTAAAAAGTTACTATATTTAGTATATGTTTTAACGGGAATCCGAATTATTTTTTAGTTACTATTTCTGCATTATTTAGGTTGCCTCTTTATATAATAACTAGTACAGAGCCCGTGCGATGCACGGAGTGTACAATTTTAAGGACATTTATCCAACTTTATAAGTATATAAATGAAAAAGAAAAATTTACGGGATATATATAGTACGTAACATGTGCGAGACACGAGATATATTAACTTTGGAATTATTATATTATAAGATGCAATATGCAATATAAAAATTTTACAATAGGCATGAAAATTATACAATAAAAATATTATTGCACAAAGAAACAATCATATATTATTAAAGACTTCTTTGTACACAACATTATGGGTTTGATTATTGGGCAACCCCATTCTTCAAC